TCTCTTGAAATGATTAAAAATAACTCCTATTCATTCATCAGATAATGTATCAAACAGCTCATCTTCTGCAGATTCTCAGTGTAGACAGCAAGAATTTTTCTTTGTTCTCTTTTAACAATACATTTTATTGAGAGTGGTTTATTGTGATTTCTCAATTACTGTGTTGATTAATTGGGAAAACTCCAGGCAAACTTGAGTTTCAGTATATTTTATTCATAGCAGTTGTAAGAGAAAGAGGTGCATATTTTCCCCTTAGTAAGGATGGAAATCTGACTGTGCCGGACCTGTGGTCATGGGATGGTAAACATTTGATGACCACAGCTGTCCTGAGGTTCATTAGCTTTGCTGCAAACTCAGACAGCGTTACTGGAACAAAGCTTAATGGAAGAGAGGTGACGTGTCTGAGGAAAAATAATGAATTTGTTGTGAATATTCCTCTTTTGTTTGGACAGAGTTCAGCAGACAGAGCTTTTCATTTTTTAATGCATGACCCTGTTATTGCACCTATGGTGTCACATGCCAACCTATGCGTGTTGAGAAATGCATAATGAAAAGCATTAGCTCTTCTATTCCTTCTACTAAAAAGAAAAGGAGGACTTGTGGCACCTTAGAGACTAACAAATGTATTAGAGCATAAGCTTTCGTGAGCTAGAGCTCACTTCATTGGATGCATTCAGTGGAAAATATAGTGGGGAGATTTTATATACACAGAGAACATGAAACAATGGGTGTTACCATACAGACTGTAACAAGAGTGATCAGGAAAGGTGAGCTATTACCAGCAGGAGAGTGGAGGTGGGGGGACCTTTTGTATGATAATCAAGGTGGGCCATTTCCAGCACTTTACAAGAACAGTAGGAGGGGAAATAAACAAGGGGAAAAAGTTTTACTTTGTGTAATGACACATCCACTCCCAGTCTTTATTCAAGCCTAAGTTAATTGTATCCAGTTTTCAAATTAATTCCAATTCAGCAGTCTCTCTACTGCATCCGATGAAGTGAGCTGTAGCTCACGAAAGCTTATGCTCAAATAAATTTGTTAGTCTCTAAGGTGCCACAAGTACTCCTTTTCTTTTTGCGAATGCAGACTAACACGGCTGCTACTCTGAAACCTGTCTCCTGAATGTGTTACATATTTCCTTTTGTTCACCACATTCAATTCATTCATATACAGTACAGAAGCAATTCAGTTACTTTTCAATGTTTCTGGTCCCAAGTGCTCTATAAGGAAGCACCTAAAATAAGGTGGGTTAAAGTTTATTTTGGTATCTGAAAGCAGGAAAGTAGTTTAAAGCAGCTGTTTAAGATAGATGTTTATCACAGGTGACTGTTTCCGAAAACGAGGCACAAGGATACTGTAAATCAAGACCTCACAACTTTCTCAAATCCTGGACCACTTCTTAAGGCATAGCACCTGTCACGAAGCAGCTCTCCTCCCTGTTACAACTGTATTGCAAAATATAAATATAATATTACAACAGAATATCACAAAGACACAATGAAAATAAACTCAGCTTAATGGATGGGTGCAGCTGCATGGTTATCACTGACCCCTGGTTTTGTACATCTGTTGTTTATTTCCTCTCTTGGTAGAAGCAGGATTTTATATATTTATTAACACCTGATTTTCTTTCATTTTATGCAGATCCCACTGCTTTGATTTGTCCAAGCTAGTAGTTTGATTCATGCCTCTCTTATTACTGCTTCATTTGTAGTGTTGTCAACAAATTTGATTATGGTTGAAATTTTATCTGTCAGCAAGACAGGGAATTGTTCCACAGACTTCAACTCCAGGACAGCAATCCAAGCCAGTGAAGGCTTTCATGGGACACTATCATGAATTAAAGAGAGCTCTACTTGAAGACTGAATGCACAACTGAAAAGTTCTAGGATGATGACTGTCCCCTGCTCCATTTGTGCATGCTTTACTATTAATGGAACTTAGCCTCCTGAACCTCCTGGAAATGCTCTGCTGACAACCCATTGGTCCAAAGTCCAGCAATTGACAATCACTGGTCTATACCAGTAGCAAATCACTTCTCTTACCTTTCCCTTAGAGTAAGAGGGGATCCATGGTGGGAAACTGTGACCAGATGAGACTCCGAGAGTTACAGTTCCCTCCCTGGTCAGCTCTTGGAGTGGCACCACTTCTTACTCAGGCTGTAAAGTTAGTCTGAGCCATAACCTTTAAGTACAACTGATGCAACAATAATTCGTCTTCCTGTAGCTTATTTGCTTGCTGACCTACATACACCACTATCAGTCCTGGGCAGGACATATCTTTTGGCTTCATGAATCTTTGTGACCCCAAAGCTTGTCAGAGAACAAGAGGGGAAAACTTCCTCACTCTTACCTGGCAGTAGACTGTCCATTTGGCATCCTGCCTGGAAACTTGCAAACTCAATTAAATACACATATGGTCCATAGCAGGCAGAATCAGTCTTTGCCAGCACACATTCCTCCTATGGCATTTCCAAACTTAACTTGTGCTATATAGCTTTTCCTGAGAAATGAGTGTTCCACTTCTCCAATAGCATCAGCTCAGCATATTGTCTCCTGTGTCCTGCAAGAATACAGGGAATGTTGCCAAGATGAACATCAGTGTGAACTCCATGGGGGTGATTTTGCTATTGAGGAGCTTTTGTTGAGGAAGCCAGGTATAGAGACACCTAGTCTTAATGAGCAGTACTGGTAGAATTAATAAATCTTCTCAATACTCCCTGAAGCAGCTGCTCTCTTTTTGAAAAAATGAGCATATGGTTTCATCATATTTCATTGATTTGATCCCCTTCAGCTAAAGAAATATTTCAGTGGAATGCAAACGACTTACAGAAGTTCTGCACATTTCTCAACCCCTTTTATTTTCCCTGCCTAAACAGGAAGCTGACTAGCATGTAAAAGGGAGAGCCGCAGGCAGCATTCAGATTCCTTAATAGGAGTTGCAGAGCGGGTGATGGAATCTCTGACAATAATGAGGACTCGAGTGTTCCTTGAAGTTACAGTGCTGGGAATTCCCTTAAAGATTTTAACTAGCGTGAAAGAATGTGGGTGAAGAAGTTTGCTCACATTGCGGATGGATTGGCTACCTATTCTAATTACACCCTCTGCTCTCATCTCACAGGTTCTCTATGAGGAGTTAGGCAGAGAAAACCAGCATCAGTTTAAGCTAACCTATTTCAAAATTCATCAAAATGAAGTGGCAGGAAGATGTTTCTGTTACTTTCAGTAACCAAGGCTAAACCTTTCATTCTGATTATCGGCGAATAACAAGACTATTTTACCTTCCAAGCTGCCAAAGCTCTTCCCCTTACTGAAATGAAAATCATCAAGGTGGATTTTTTTGTTTTGTTTTAAGAATCACTGAAAACAAGTTTCCTGTTTACAAGGTTTAATATTTAAATGGTGTTAATACCAAATGAGATGTATTCTAATTCAGATTCTAATATGCTCAGTAGCCGTGCAAGTAGTCTGAAGGAAATCAAAGGGACCAGTCATGGAAAAAGATGCTATTTGACAGGAGCAAGAGTAAAGGAACCAGAACCTGGCCCTTTATCCTTGAGGTTTCGATCCTATTGTTTGTTACTCTCTTCCCATTCATTTAAAAAAAGTATTATGGTATTCTGCAAAACACTCAATGTTTGATGGCTTTTGTAAAACACATTGATATTACTTAATATATTTGTAAACTGTAATATTTTGGACAATTATAGCAAAGTATTATAATATTTTAAAGGGCATTTTAGATCCCTTCCCCCCAATTCTGTTTCTTCCCTTCTCTTTTTTCTTTTTCTAAAACCTGTTTTTAAGAAGCTTCTTTGAGAGCCATACACATTTTCAAATGATGACAGCTGGAGAAAAATCCAGCTGTTTTGTGATGAAGTAATATTTAACTTTTTATCCATCATGACTTTGTATTGTAGCATCATCTCACCTCTATCATTCTGAAGCTTAATTCCCAAACCTAACAAGCAAGCTATATTAGCTTTTTAAGCCTTGATCATGTAATGGAATTCACACAGATTCGATAGAAGGATCAGGGTCTTAAACTACCAGTCAAGAGGGAAGCCCATGGCTGCACTTCTCTTTCTATCAACATTTGTATTTCCTAATAAGTGAAATGTGTACAGTTTAGCTTCTTTCCAGCAGAATGAGAAATGGTCTGTGTTTTGATGGATTGCAAATTACTCCTAAATCCAGCAAAAAGGCCTTTTGTTTCACAGGTTGCAATGCTCATGTTTTTTCTGCTTGCTCTAGGACAAAGCAATTGTATCACAGCAATCCAATCCTTGGAAAATAAATTAACCTTTTTTCCTCCAAATGTATCAGAAATATTACATTTAGAACAGCCCTAAACAGCGATATCTATTTCAGCTTTTCCGTGATCCCCCAGAGGTTGCAGCAGAGTGGTGTTTTCTCTCCATTTCTGACATTCAGATGGCAAGCAGACAGATGAATGCAGCACTTCTGCTTTTGTGACACAAGCCATACATTATTAATTTTTGTTGTTGTTGCACTGACACTATGAGACAGATGCCATTCTGAACCCAAAGCCTTCATTCCGATAGGAGAAGCAATCTCTGAACTACCAAGTCAACTAATTAATGCTGTATAATTTAGTAAAGGGTGGCAATTACTGAGTTTCCCCTATCTCATTCCCCTCCTGCTAATGTTAACATTATCAAAGTGTGTGAGAGAGAGAGAGAGAGAGAGAGTAGGTAGGTAGGTAGGTAGCTTATAATAAAAAGGAATTAATAAGCAAATGAAGCAGGGAATGGTGAAATACAGCAAAGAAGAAAGAGCTAACATTACTTGTTGTATTTGACACTAAGCAATGGGAAAACTCTTCCAAACTCTTACCATTAATAATTTAGAGCTGGAGTGAAAACAGGCAAGTGCAGTTGGGAAGATATTGACAATGGAGGGGGGGTGAGAAATGAAAAAACTGTCCACCCTCAATTAAATTATTAATCAAAGATTGTGTCATATTTGTTTGTATTGCAGCCTTATTGCAAGTAACTAAGGAGACACCAAAGAAGAAGATATTTCCCCCTCTAACTTGTCAGATATGTGTATAGGCAATGGGTGAAGTCAATGGTAGCATGATCTGTGGCAGTAGAAATGTTTCCTTTAGGCATGTTTCATAGTCCCACAATGTGGTGCAATTTTCCCCCATTCAAAGAAACGTACTGAAAGGGGCTGTAAACAGCATTAGACTAATGAGAGCTTATAAAAGCCCAACCTAGTAAACAATCTCCCTTTTAAATCAATAGACTGCCATCATAGCGTTCCACCATAAAGAACTGACATGGCTTTGACAAAATAAGATTGTTATTTATGAAACAATGTTACACTGTGGTTGGGAATAGTTCTGGATTTTCAGTCTGTGTAATCTACTTCATTTGGTCAACCAGTGCTCAAACACTTACCAAAACACTGTTTAAAAACCTGCAGCTAACATTGTTAAATGACTATTTGGTTACCACATTCTTTGCAAAACCCAATAACTTAATAACATGGAAATGAATAGATAAGGACATAAATCTTGTACTACTTGGTTAATACTGTGTATGATTAATTTGTTTATTAAGAAATGAATATTTCATCATAACACAACTATCTTAATGCTGATCCATGAATTGTTGTGGGGATTTGTTTATATATTGATTTTTAACTTGGTATCTAAATATTTTCTCTGAAGGAGTACTGCTAAATGAGAATTATTAGGTAAAATATTTATCCATCAACATCAGTCTTTTGGGCAAGCATTTACAATTGATGTTTCTTGGGAATAAGGTTGTACATATAATTTAACTGAAAAGTGTATAAACTTATTGTAAAATTATGTATGTGAATTTATTTCAAAGTTGATCAGTTTGTTATTAATGTATACATATAGCAATTTTGTTTCATTTTTAGATGGATTTGTGATTAGATTCTGAGATAACGAATGAAAGAATAGTCTGGGGGTTAAAGTTTAGGTTGGTGTGCTGTGATTGAAATATCCAGGACAAAAAAAAAAGCAGGCCTCTCCCACTTACTCTAAACAAAGAACTTTTTGGCTGTGAGCTAAAAATGATCATGTTCTTTCTCAGTGGCAGTCAAGCAACAGAGGACAACATGCACTCAATTTCACACACGCAGATGGCCTGTGTGACGTTCCCCTCTGGTGTTATCTGGACCTGTGATCTGCTAGGACTCTCCAATCCTTGACTCTGGGAGCCAGCCTGACCCTGCTCTGCTGTGAGAACCCCCACTCTTGGGCTGTTCACACACAGCCTCTGGCATGTAAGCTGCTCCCAGCTACTTGCAGGCAAATGACACTAGCCAATATCTCCAGTCGCAGACACAACCGTCTGGGAGCCTCCGTCTTGCAGTGCCCAGTGATGCCCGCTGGACACTGCCAGCTTATATAAATTCATCAATTTAATAAAGAAATTGATATGTATGAGGCTTGATATCCCCAGGGGAGCCTGTGACGCACTTCAAACTAAATGCACTGCTTCAGGTAGAATAAACAAACAGATTTATTAGCTATAAAGATAGATTTTAAGTGATTATAAATCAAGGCATAACAAGTCAGATTTGGTCAAATGAAATAAAAGCAAAACACATTCTAAGCTGATCTTAACACTTTCAATGTCCTTACAAACTTAGATGCTTCTCACCACAGACTGGCTGCTCTTCAGCCAGGCTCTCCCTTTTGATCAGCGCTTTAATCACTTGCTGGTGGTGGTAGTGTCAGTCCAAGCAGGTGGAAGAGAGAGAGACAGCATGGCAAATGTCTCTTCCTTTTATCATGTCCTTTCTTCCCTCATGGCTTTGCCTCCACCCCCTTCAGAGTCAGGTGAACATTACTGAGTCTCTCCAAGCAAGGTTGAGCAATTTCCCTGGTGTGGCCTCATGTAGGTGAGTCATCACATTGTAGCTCCCTTGTTGGACAACGGCTGTTGATGGATTGATTAACACCCCGCCTGGGCGTTGGTTACTTTCCTTGCTGTTGCCTCTGGGGAGCTAATTTCTGGCTGATTCCCACAACGTACAGCATGTTTTAGTGACAACCATACAACACAATTCTCATAACTTCGTATGCATGAATGATACACATATATGGATAGAGAAATGACTTCCGCAGATCATAACCTTTCCCCTGATACCTTACAAAGCATGCTTTATAAGTAAGACCACAATTATATGAAAACAAGGAATATGGGGGTTACAGCATGCTTCCCCAAGGTATAGAATGTCACAGCCTGATTCAGCATTCCTTTTACACCAGCTAGGCTGAAGCTGGTAGCTCTGGCCCCTCCAGAATTACTCCACAGTAAAGGAATTCAGTAAGCAGAGAAGAGCCAGGATAACAACTCTGAGCCACATGTGAAGGTGGCACATTGGGAGATGTTCCTGGGACATAGCTAAACACTGCTGCACTTCTGGAAGCTGGAGCAGCCCCTTGGGGCCATAGGCAATGGGTCACAAGTTAGAGCAGCTCTGAGACTTCTCTAACCTACGGGGCTGACCTGGCCTCAGAAAGGTGGCACAAAATGCCTCTGGAGCTCCTGCAGGGGTGGTATCAAGTGCAATTCTTTCAAGGTATGATGAACTTCAGTTGTCTTATGAAGTAGCAAATTTTAACTTGCATACCCCCCTGACTTTTGTCATTGAAACCTTACCTGTTTCACAGCTCTCTATAGCAAAAGGGGCCATTTGATCAGGACATGCAGGAAAAAGACACACAGACAGGGATGAATTTAAAGTGCCAGGCTGCATCTCTACAAAATCAACCTTACATTTTTGCGGGGGAGAGTAGGGGTGGTACTAAACTCCTCCCAAAATACCAGGCATTTAGTTGGGTCCTCTGTGGTATTAAATGACCTTATGACATAAAAATAATTTTCATGGTTGGCCCCCTTCATCTTAAACCCTATGACTCCGTCCATCTCTGAATCCTCTTATCCTCCTCCCACAAGTTTGAATGAAGGTACACAGGAAGGGTCCCCCAGTCTGCAAAGAATTAAGGTCTGCCCTTCCCCTACAGGCTAGCAGGGTCCACCAGCTATCTCCTGGCCTCTTTCTCATGTTTCCTTCTCGAAACTGGTCCCTTTTGAGTCCCAAACTTACACTGGATGATGGCTGCAAATTGTGATTAAAATTATGACAAATTCCTCTTATAAATGTATATTCCTTTAAAGTGGTGCCTTACTCTTTATTAACTGAAAACTGAGTCTCCAGGATGCTGTTAGGAAGGCAAAGGAAGGTCTCAGTGGGAATTCTTTCCTGACTCCCAAAATTACTGATCTGCAGAGTGTCACCCACAGCATGCTGGAAGCATAGTTCAAATTATACCTTAATTATAAGGCAAAGAATGCAGTGCAGAAACCAGCAGGATGGCTGCTGCATGCCTGGAAGACCTTTACACGCAACAGGGTTGAGGGTATGACAGCCAGTGAGCTCTCGTCTTCCCTCAAATGCCTGGCTAATGGACAGCAAAGGAAGTAGAAAAAAACTCTTCTCCTTCTCCCGTACCCCACACTGGAATGTGTGTTCTGGGGGTAGTGTGGGGGAGAAGATTACCGGAGCAACTGAGGCAGCCTCTTTCCTGCCCTACTCTTTCCAGGACCCCAAGGGTTGCCTATCTCCCATCTATCTGATCCCGCATCTTTCCCAAGGGGACATCCTACTATAATGTTAACAAACACATTTTTTTCTTTTAAAAACTTGTGTATTCTTCACCATTCTACATACAGCCTGGCACAAGGAAATGGAATGAGGTTTTACATGTCTCAGGGTTTGATGGCCTACCATTTTTAATCCTTAAAGCACACTCCTTCACTCCCTCTTCTGCCAAAGCACTTAGCCCTCGGAATACTTAGAATATTAAAACAAATCACAACCTTCCAATGCCTAGAAACACACAATGCTATAAAGTAGGGCTGTTGATGAATCACAGTTAACTCACATGATTACCTCAAAAAAATTAATCACGATTAAAAATCGCACCATTAAACAAAAGAATACCAGTTGAAATTTATTAAATATTTTGGATGTTTTTCTACATTTTCAAATATTTTATTTCAATATACAACTCAGAATACGAAGTGTATAGTGCTCACTTTATATTACTTTTTATTACAAATATTTGCAAAGTAAAAATGACAAACAAAAAAAATAGTATTTTTCAATTCACCTCGTACAAGTACTGTAGTGCAATCTTTATCGTGAGATTGCAACTTACAATTGTAAATATTTTTTGTTACATAACTGCACTCAAAAACAAAACAATGTAAAACTTTAGAGCCTACAAGTCCACTCAGTCCTACTTCTTGTTCAGCCAATCACTACGACAAATTTGTTTACGTTTACAGGACATAATGCTGCCTGCTTATTTACAATGTCACCTGAAAATGAGAACAGGTGTTTGCATGGCACTGTTGTAGCTGGCATTGCTAGGTATTTACGTGCCAGATATGCTAAACATTCGTATGCACCTTCATGCTTTGGCCACCATCCAGAGGACATGCTTCCATGCTGATGATGCTCGTAAAAAAATAATGCATTAATTAAATTTGTGACTGAACTCCTTGGGGGAAAACTGTATGTCTCCTGCTCTGTTTTACCTGCATTCTGCCATATATTTCATATTATGATGGTCTTGGATGACGACCCAGCACATGTTGTTTGATTTAAGAACACTTTCACTGCAGATCTGAAAAAATGCAAAGAAGGTACCAATGTAAGATTTCTAAGGATAGATACAGCACTCAACCCAAGGTTTAAGAATCTGAAGTGCCTTCCAAAATCTGAGAGGGACAAGGTGTGCAGCATGTTTTCAGAAGTCTTAAAAGAGCAACACTCCGATGCGGAAGCTACAGAACCCAAACCACCAAAAAAGAAAATCAAACTTTTGTTGGTGGCATCTCACTCAAATGATGAAAGTTAATGTGTGTCAGTCTGCACTGCTTTGGATCATTATTGAACAGAACCCTTCATCAGCATGGAAGCATGTATTCTGGAATGGTGGGTGAAGCATGAAGGAACATATGAATCTTTACTGCATCTTGCACGTAAATATCTTGCGATGCTGGCTACAATAGAATGCCTGCTCTCACTTTCAGGTGACATTCTAAATAAGAAGTGATCAGCATTATCTCCTGCAATTGTAAACAAACTTGTTTGTCTGAGTGATTGGCTGAACGAGAAGTAGGACTGAGTGGACTTGTAGGCTCTAAAGTTTGACATTGTTTTATTTTTGAATGCAGTTTTTTTTACATAATTCTACATTTGTTAGTTCAACTTTCATGATAAAGTGATTGCACTATAGTACTTGTATTAGGTGAATTGAAAAATACTATTTTTTTCTTTTTTACAGTGTGAATATTTGTAATAAAAAATAAATATAAAGTTAGCACGCTTTGTACGCTTTGTATTCTGTGTTGTAATTGAAATCAATATATTTGGAAATGTAGAAAATATAAAAAACTATTTAAATAAATGGTATTCTATTATTGTTCAACAGAGCGATTAATCACGATTAATTTTTTTAATCACATGATTAATTTTTTAAATCATAGAATCATAGAACTGGAAGGGACCTCAAGAGGTCATCTAGTCCAGTCCCCTGCACTCATGACAGGACTAAGTATTATCTAGACTGTTCCTGGCAGCTGTTTGTCTAACCTGCTCTTAAAAATCTCCAATGATGGAGACTCCACAACCTCTGTAGGCAATTTATTCCAGTGTTTAACCACCCTGAGAGTTAGGGAGTTTTTCCTAATGGCCACTTACTGCAATTTAAGCCCTTCCTTGCTGCAATTTAAGCCCATTGCGTCTTGTCCTATCCTCAGA